AAGGAGTTGATGAGCTGCACAAACAGTCACATGAGCTCCGTTGCTGAAGAGAAGAGAGCACTCCTGCTTGAACTACAGAGTCTGAATGATATCGACGAAGGTGAGCAGCGAAGGTTCATTTTATGCAAAACAGACCATAGCCATATTTTTAAAAGGACCTCTGTAAGCTCCTTTAATTTTTCCACATGCATTCACACAGCCTTTAACCCAGACCAGCAGTTATTTTATAATTCAGCTGGTCTGCCAAGGCAGTTTAATCTTGAGCCCAGATGTTAGATCTTCTACAACATATTTCTGGCTCCATGAACAGGTTGAGCGGGTGTGCTTGCCGCGTTTTTTTAAATCTGAGTTAAGGAGGCTGTACACACACATACTGTAATAAGTCCTTTCTAAGGAGAGGAGCCAAACATTCCATGTCAAAGTAAATCCAAAAGTCTACAACTTTGTTTCTGTTCAGGGGTTTACCACATAAAATCCAAAAGGTGAGACAGAACAAAGTCCAAAAACCAGTCTGTACACGAAGAGAATAAAAATGAAATAAAGACACTGGCGAAACAAAGCAAGAAGAAAAGCTTATACTAGAATTATAAGAAAGGGCTGCAAGTCTTGACTGCCAACAAGACAATCTGACATTGAACCAATGGGAAAGGGAACACACACGAATGCACAGGTGAGTAAAAGTGGCAGCAGACTGAAAAAAGTTAGCAATTAAATAAAATGTAAGAAAACGGGCAACAAATTAAAACAGGAAGTGAGAGAAAGAACATAACAAAACTCAGCGTACCATCAAAAGATTAAGAGTGGAAAGGTAGTTGGTACAGATGACATACCTGTGGAGGCACGGAGCTGAGCTAGATGAGAGATTGTGTGAGCTCTCCAGAAGTCTTAGAGAGTGAGAGGATGTCTGAGGAAAGACAAGTGGTGTCAGAATTAATCATTTAAGATCATTTATGCTTAGAAATATATATTCGTTTGTATGCTGATAAAAATCATATCCTTATTAGGTCTGATAAGATTCTGTGTGCACTTGTGTACCATGAGATGAGAGGAAGCAGTCTCGATGTTATAATTCTGTTAGCTTTTGAAACCAGACTGTCCTGTTCTGTTTAAAAGTGCCAGAGTTCACACCTTTAAATGTGAGTTTGAGATATGACCTATTGCAAGTTGCTGTTTTTATAGTTTAGCAACTTCTGCTTTTCTGCATACAATTTAAGTTCATTGAAAGGTCATATGTCTATGTATAGTATGGCTGGAAACACACACACACATGCACCTACACACACACAGAATACAGACACTGATGTTGCTCGGATACGCCTGTTTTAAGAATGTCACGTGCGAAGGAGTCAGTTGAAGTTGGTCGAGTTCAGGTGAAGGAATCTTTTCCTCAACTTTGATTGAATTCCCTCGCGAGCCACAAACACAGAGAGTGCCTTCTCACCTTGTTTTGTCGTGCAGTTGTTGGTCTCGTGTTCCAGCGGGGTTTGTGCCTAGATAAACCCAACAAGTGGTGTACTGGTTCAGGCTTTCAAGAACAAGGGTGATGTAGC